TTTAGTTATGCATACTTCTGTAATTGCTGTTTTCTTGATATTCTTTATATTAGTGTTGTCGTGCTAATTGTGCAATCCCATATATGATTTCTTTTATATTTTATGTATAATTATTTGGTTTTGTTTTTGAAAAATTTTAATTAATGATTTCGTTTAAATCGTAACAAATGAGTAGAACGTTATTCAATCTTGAATTTTAGGCTGAAGAGTTAGTGATAAGCACTTGTGGTGGCCATGATCGGTCTGGTGTCGCAGAAAGGATTTCAAATATCGGCTTATTTTGTCTGTCGAACACTGGTATCGATGAGACATGCATCTACAGAGGAAGTGAAAGCACCTGATGCTGTGATTAATCTGCTGTCCTTTTTGAACAGCGAAGATAGTATTTACAAGCTCTCTGCGATGAAAGGGATCTCGAAGATGGACGCGATTAAGATCTGCAATCATCGTATATCCGTTGGACCTCTAAGCGACGTCAGTGAGCTGTCAGAGCTTCTTGGCAAATCCCCGGAGATGATTGAGAAGATCGCCAATGCGCGCTTCGAACCCGCCTTCTCCTTCAGCGACACAAGTCCCGATGCCAAGAAGAAGAAGCTGATGAGGATGTGTTCTCCGGTACCGAAGCAGGATCATGCGAAGCGTTGGACTAGAGTTTTGTCGTATCGATTCAATGCGCTTCATTTCTCATGGCTGGTGATGGAAAGAAACTTCAGCGTCGTTGACTGGGGCAGAAAGGTATTGTTCCCTAACGACGACCCACACAACGTTGGTACCGGCGGTAGTCAGCTGAAACTTCGGTCAGTTTTCATTCACGATCTAGTCCGATCTTTGATCAGCACTATTGTGGACTTCGACTGCGTAGTGAAGGAAAAACTTAGCTTCTTGGCCATTGTGGACAGCTCCAAATCGCTCAAGTACCAAATTCTACTCGCCATGCTGGAACAGGCATTCTGTTCGGCGACTTTTAGCCGCCTAAAGCCATGGCTAGCTGAACCGGACGAAAACTGCGGTAACGAACTTTCATTTGTAGTGTTTAAATCAGCGTAATGCGTTACACATTTAAAATAATAATCTAATGGGACTTTTTATAATGTTTCTTCAACGTACGTAGTCTCTGTGCGTATAGTTTCTACTTACCCTGAAGAATGATGATCAAATTTTTAATGTAAATTTATGGTTTACATCTTAGACAGTTTTTTTCAACAGTTATGTAGGTCAGGGCACATTTTTGATTACTTCCAATTTTCTCGCATGTTCTGCCTTGATCGCGTGAATACACTGGACTGTCTTATGTAATTTTTTTCTAACCTGAATTCACCAAAGCATGGTGCCATGAATAATTAATCAGAAAACTACACATCACCCCTCACCTGTAATATGTTAAGCAAGACTAAATGCGACTGTTCAGCTGCTTCCAAAACTGACTTTGCATCAGCTTTGATCAGTTAAGAGGAAAGCACATGGTCGCCTTACGTTCTATCGTTTTTCTTAAAAATTATATTTGAACAGGGATTTATAAGATCTCTGAAAATTATGCGTCTCGACGTGGTCCGGAATACTGACATCCGGAAGAGCCTTGGATTACAGCCTTTGCTTCTCCAGATTGAGAAGTTACAGCTGCGATCGCTTGGGCATGTGTTGCGAATGCCTCCAGAAAGGAAGGCTAAGCAACTGTTCCTCGCAAATCCGACCGGCAGAAGGTCCAGAGGATGACCAGGATTAACCTGGTGCAAATATATGGAAGGAGTCTGTTCCAGACTCCATTTATCTTTTGCCGAAGCTCATACTGTGGCACAGAATCGGGAACGTTAGAAAGCTCTGTCTAACATGTCTGCCTCCGCGACCCGAAAGGAGAAGCGGCGATGGAAGATGATGAAAATTATGCACCATGAAGGCAGCGGGTCTGCGCTTAATATGCCGCTACCGACGTTTCGGTCCATATCTGACGAGCCTTTATAAGGTAAAGATGGTTGTCTTTGGTAGTGTTGATATCCGAGAGTCCATCTTATAGTTTAAAACCGACCAGCTTCTGCCTATGACACTTTAATAACCACAGACAACGGGCTTTACCTTGAAGAAGAACCGTGAAATACAGTTGTAGCCTTTGGCATGTAATATCGGCTGTGGTATCGCCTAACAGACCGTTTGTTTTGTGTTATGCATTATTAGGCAGTTTTAATGCTTTATTTCAATGTGACTTCCAACTCTCGAACAAAGCCCTTCTAGTTTTAGATCAGTTGTGATCAGTTCTAGTATAGTACGGTTTTTCAGTGAAGTTATTGGGTGCCATTTACTTATAGAGGATAAGAAGAAGACGGGCATTAAGAAACGGACAGCCTCGAAAAACGACACCACTCAGTTGTGGCCGATGTTTGAATTTGACTTCCAGTTGATCAACCAGTTGTTCGGTCTGAAAGCCTCGAAGAGGTCTCGTTTCATATCAAGGTCTTGCATTTCAAGTTTGTTGTCGCCTGAAATTTCGCAGTCGCCATTTCCTGTGTGTACAGTCCCGGTAAAATATCAAGAGTTTATCGATCGCCTGAAGAATGTTGAGTTGCATACAGAAGGAGCCGCTTTTCTTCAAGCCTTTGCGTTTTGCTACTTGTTTGGCGATTCGTATGCGAAGCTAACCAATTCATAAGTCGACGTGTGATAACCTGACTTCTCTCTGTTTGAAATGATCGTTCTATAATGTGGCTATGCCTGTTTCTAAGTCAATTTGAAGATTTTGTTTGCGGCGCATTTTCTTGACCATTGTTATGCATGTATGTTAAATCTAAAGTTTTCTGAATTTTATTTATATTCGCTGTCGACGCATGGGAAGAGGATTTCTCCGATTTTGTGTTCGGAAACAGGACAATTTATCAAGAGAAAATTTATCAACAAACGGTCTGGCCTTTTGGGCGAGGCAAACAGTGTCCATCGTCGTGATCAACGGTAGTTTAAAGTAAGGGTTTGCTACATTGACGTTCCTTTCGATTAGTGAGCCCATATCACTTCTGAAGTTGCCAACAGAAGATAGTTGTCAGTCTGACATGACCATTGTGATGGTATAGATGAACCTTCTGGATAATTCGCCGAAATGTCTATTACTTAAAGTAAAATCACAGCAAGTAAACGTGAGTGATTTAATGGCGTATCCTGACACTTGCCCTCTTCAATATGAACTGCAGTACAACGCATGTTTCTTAGCGAAAATCGGATAACAGATAAACAGCTATTCAATCAGTCGGAAGGTAGTACGCATGTGCACGTGTTGGCAAAGTGGTCTTGTCATGCTTACAAATTCTTGGCTGCCCAGTGATACTTATTTGAATTATTGACACAGTTTTGTATAATTATTTATTGTGCTTCGAAATGTCTTTATTGAGAAAACAATGCATTGAATCTTTATGGAAAAATTTCATGCGCTGTTTTTACATTCGCGACATTCCGAAGCAAGTTGGCTTCTCCTATGTAAGCAACGCGTATTAGTTTATATATAATCGTTTTATTAACCTTTTTCATTTTCCGTCGAAGTTAAGCATCTCCGAAACCTCTGCAACAGTTTTTGGACAATTTCTTAGATAAGTAATCAACAAAAAGTACGCATTCCAGCTCTATAACATTTAACCATTATTTCAGTTTAATATATGTATTTTGCTGCAAGCTTGCGTTTACACCTTGTGAGTGTTATTTGCAACTGAAAGATCTGTCGCGCATATGCCGGTTGCAACAAACACAAGAGGATGAATTCTTTATCAAAAAAAAAAGATATGAAAACATTTGAACCGTGAGTTGAGTTTGAACCCGCTTTCTATTGTGCCAAGCAATCAATTATTCCATTGAATTCACTGTCACCGTAAGAAATATTGTCTTCTAAGCACCGCTTTAGTTGCCAGCAAAACTGTGAATAGAGGTGAAAGACCAAATTTTTCGAACCATAACAATCATATATATTAATTATGTATCACTGAGTGTTTAGGTTTTACAGTCTTTTTTGCGTATTGTGTTTAAACCTTAATCTAATCTGTGTTAGTAAAATAGTCCACGGCAGTTATATCATGATTTATCAAACTCCCAGAAAACTGAAAACATACAGTGTATGGAACATTGAGCGCTGTCAAACAAATTTTCCTTGATGTCTTTCGCACTGAAATAGCATTTATAATGAAAAATACAATAAATCAAACATCCTGGGTTCAGTATACCCTCTAATCGCCATCTGGTCATTCTAAGAAAAAACAAATATTTAATTTTCGTTTTATTCTCTACTTTAATACAGTCCCTACACGATCAGTCAGTTGTGATTTGGTGTTGTCCAAATTAGCCAACAGGAAATCTACGAACAATAATAAATTTTTCTTTGTTTTCATTCTGCCACCTAACCAGGATGAGTCAGAAGTAATTCGTTAAGTATTTGAAACGTCGCCAAGGCAATTTTTACTAAAATCTCTATCGTAAATGGCCTTTGCTTAATTATCTGATGCAATATGTTAATTTAGCTACTATTGCTGCACTTTTCAGCCGTAGCATTCACCTGAAATACGAGAAATTCTTAATGCCTCGCACCAGTTTCATCCTTATGTCTAAATGAGACGAAATATTTGTGTATACCGGGAAGTATCGAAGGCTCATAGTTGCAGGATCAGTTCACAGTCTTCAACGTCTTTGTTTTGCTAAACGGCAAAAATTAAATTTCTTCAATGTGGCAACTTGTTCTGCAGTTCATATCGCGTTTCCGCTTTCCTGTGCAAGTTTCGGAACCGACTCATTTCCTTGCTACTACTTTTTAGGCGCCCAGCGAGTCGTATTGAAAACTTGCTTTCTGTTATATAATTAATGTTACCAAGTGAGAATCCATGTTGCTGTAAAATTGAATTTTGCGGCAATTTGATTTACACAACAAAATTTCACTTTTGAAACTCACATCTGAACCGAAAGTAATAAACACAAAGGATATAACTCCGCCATTGCCGGTCCCAAGCCCGGATGAGAAAGGACGAGGGTTGGAGACCGTGGCAAGTCTCCGTAAAATTCAGCTACCTGCCACTCATGGTATTGACGCCTTCGA